TTTTAAATATGGGGCCAGCTAGAGAAGAAAAATATTAATTGTAAATATTTTATAAAATTGGGACTGCTTTTATAATCAAGAAACAATAAATCTCTTGCCTAAGAAGAGTATGCAAACTCAGTCGAGAGGGGAGAGTTGGGATGACAGATGATCAGAGCCTTCCAATACTACGAGACATGACGGACACGCGACCAAGCTGTGATCACAAACCCGTCACCACCAGGGGTCACCACCCCTCACATTACTGTCAATAAACGTCAATAAAATTGGACTCAGCTGAGCCACACTGAGAAGCTGCTCTAAAAGCTAAGTGATAAGGGAATACTTTACTAGGTTACCACAAATACACAGAAAGACAAATCTCCCTTAAGTAAATTAGAGCAGTGTTTCTCAACCTCTTTTTCATCATCCAACCCCCTCCGAGCCTTTTCATACATTCTCCCCCAACTGTCCTACCCCCATGAAACTTTAATACTGCAGATATACTGCATATCCGTTCATGTACTATGGCCCTTTGGAGAGCCACAGAGCACTGTGATATCTAAGATTTTTTGTCTCCAGACAAGAACTAATCTTCACTCACTTCAGGGCAATATCCCCCAGTTGGGAATGAATGAGTCTGAGTGAACACAAATTTTCAGTTTTGTTTGTTGGTTTATATAAGAGTGGCTGCTGGTTGCTTTAGGTCATATTTCTGAGCCAGAAGGAAAAGTACAAGTTAACTAAGTGCTGGGCCTTGTTTTACAGAAAAAACCCACAATGACAACAACAACAAAACAAGCAAGCAAAGCCCCAAGAGACTACAGATTATCCAAGGATATAGCTTCTTCACCACAGAACGAGGCCTAAAATTCTGATGGTCTTGACTGAAAAATAATGCTTTCCCTCCTATAAAAAGTGGCCCCCATTTCTTACCTATTTTTGATCAGTGTAGACTTGATCAGTGTAGACTAGGTTGACCAGTCTTTCTAGAAAAATGAGTCTGGAGGTGAGTTGTGAAAAGATTATACTTTGGAAAAAGTCTTGCAGGGGAAGAAGGAATAGCTAGGACAGAATGGCTGGCCTGGGATAAAAGAGGCAAGTGGATGGTGAGAGAAGAGAGGGAAGAAGCCGACTAGAAAGACAGCTAAGAATTGGGATGAAGCAACCACAGAAAATCATTGAAAACCTGAAATAACTGAAGAGTCTACGACAGCTGCAATGACAAGAGGGAAGCTAGGAGATAACACAGAGAGTGTCAAGGGCTGTAAAATCCTTGAAGTAGTGCCAGAATTACAGAGTTATTAATCATGAATAAATTGCTGAATACTTATATATTTCAAAAAGCATTCACGGGTTGTGTTTAGGTGCTTACAAAGTACTTGTGCTTGGTCCTGCCATCAAATAAGTTCAAGAAGTTAATCCTGATTAAAAACAAACATAGACATGACCGATATAATAAAAAATTTGAAAAGCAAACACATAAAGTGATTGCTCTGGGCTAGGCAATGCTCTCACTGCTTTGCATATCCTGAATCCTTTCATCCTCCCAACGTTCCCATAAAGTAACTATAAACGTTTAATGTACCCGCTGAGATACCGAATCACTGCCGAGCACCTACGTGGTGCCAGCCACACCAGGCATTGGGGAGAGAAAGATGAACTGTGAGAGAAGGAGAGAAGGGGTTTAGGGGACAGCCTCAAAAAGAGGGTGAGATGTGGGTTGAGCCATGAAGTACGAGTAAGATTGGCAGGGCGGAGAAACGGAGCAAGGTCTTACCATCCAAAAGACGTCATACCTTAAGGCCCAGAGACTGGAAGGGACACACTGAGACCACGAGGGATACACAAGCAGGGGTCTGGCAAACTATGCCTCTTGGCCAAACCCGGCCTGTTTTTGTAAATAAAGTTTTACTGGAACACAGCCCTGCCTGGTGATTTGGTCTCCAGCTGCTTTCTGCCCGGCTGCTGCACAGGCAAGGTGAGCAGTCATGACAGACGCTGAGACATCGACCGTCTGCCCCTTGACAGAAGTTTGCCGATGCCTATTCTAGAGCCATGTTATTCAGAGAGGGGTCTGTGAAGCTGCAGCAGCACCTGCGAGTCTGGCAGAAATGCAGACTCTCAGGTCCCATCCCAGACCCACAGAATTAGAATCTGCCTCTTAAAGAGATCTCTGGTGATTCTCATGCAGAGAAGGCCCTCCAATCACTGGCGTGCGTGGCCGGGAGGAGGCGGTGAGGCTGCAGACGAAGAGAAATCTGCACTTCTCCTATATATAGACGGAGCAAAGTGGTAAAGATCTTCCCATAAAGGAGTGGTGCCATCCATCCACGCTCTAACAAGGTCCCTCTGTCAGAGTGTGACGGTAGGAAGAGCTGATGGCGGAAAGGGGGTGGGCGGCTGGTGTCAGAGCCCAGGCAAAAGATGCCCCGAACTAGGCAGGGTAGATGGCAGGACAGCTTCTTCTTTCTTCCCAGAAGCAAAAAACATTTTAAGAGATTACTCCAACTTCACTAGTGCCTCCAAACTATTTCTAACAAATATAGTATCAGTTATTCTTCACTAGGGAAAAGAAAAATACTTGGTAACAAAAATATCAGTAATCATGTGTTTCCCTGTATTTCAAAAGTATCTGCACCTAAGTAAATGCCTCAGAGCGCAATGCATACATTATGACGTTAACTGGAAAAAAAGGAAGTTTGAAGATTAAACGAGGATCTATTGAACAGCTATCTATTACGCAGGCTGCTAACACATCAGTTCACCGGATATTTAAAGGTGTAATGTCTTACTGTTGGGACTTTTTCCCCCCCAAATAAATGTAAGATTCTGCTTCATATTCTGTTCTTCTGCATTTTGGATGAATAAGCAATCTAAAGTTCAAAAGAAACAAAGCAGCATTTTAGACAACCACGCCAACACTATTCCTTCTTCCAGCTCGCCTAACAGCTTCCAAGCAATTATTTAACATTTTGCCTCCTTAAAAATCTAGAAAAGTTTGACAGGGTTATTTGTGGGATTCAGCATGCTTTACAGAAATGACAGCAATATAGATAAAAATAGATGGGTGACAGTGGGAAATTCCCTTTCTTAGATGCTTAGGTTTAAGACTTTACATTAATTCCATTGGCAGAAACAATGCAAAAGAAATAAGGCTTGTGTATCTGCTTTGAGAAATGCAGCATAATTAAGTTAATAAATCTCAAGTAAGAAAAAAAGCCATGAAACTCGTGTTGAGAAAAATCTCTATGTTAAGATTCATTAACAAAAGCCTTAAAAAGTGCATGAACTCAGTATAATGGTTAATGGCACTTAAAAAATAACAGTACCTAACATTTACAGAGTGCTTACTATGGCTTTACACTGTACTAAATACCATTACATGGATTATCTCATTTAATGCTCAAAACACCCTGATATTAGCTCCATTTTATAAATGGTGAAACTAAGGCACAGAGAGATTAAGTAACTTGTCCAAGATCACACAGCTAATTAAGAAGTGAAGCTAAGATTTGAAGCTGGGCCTATGCTCTTAACCATAACTATGGTACGTCTCTAACAGCATCTGCTCTCCACCTTTCTCTTGCCCCCATGTGAATCTGGAAAAAGTTTAAATGCAATAGATTCTCATTGTCACTAATATCAGGGACAAAGAAAACCCCTATGATTTAGACGTTCAAAGTCTTAATGGAAAGGGGGGCACACCATATTGCTCTGTGGACAGTGGCCAAAATTTGACCAGCAATATAATTAAACCCAGGAATAATGAGGTGGATTCGATTTAAGACACCGGATTATTTTTCAGTAGGATAAAATTCAAATTAAGTCCTAGCAAAATTCTGAAGTGTATCATGTAACTGCTTGTTAATAATAAATATGGATGCAGACTTTTAATAATTACTATGAAGGCATTATCTTCTAGCTAACATGTTTGTGAAATGCTGCAGAGAATCTGAAACGTTAAAATAAACGCAGGCACTGCCCTAATACTATCGGGTTAACATTCTCCTACTGGTTGTGCATGCTTATTTAAGTAATTGCCTGACTGTAAACGAACAGAAGTATTAAAGGAAAGTTGGCAGGAGGCACAGCATCCACATGGCACATTCTTTGTCCCGGGAGCTTTATTCTACCAATACTCTTAGAAAAAAGAGAATCACTAAATAAATAATGGAAGTACATAAGACAGTGTGGAGGTCTTGTAAATTCTTCAAATTGTCAAGTGTCTTACACACAACTCTTTTTCGACTTGAGCTCATCATATTCCATTTAAAATACAAATTTTGTCAAGCAATAAGTTCATCCTCTTCAAATTTTAACAGTTTCGAAATAAGATCCAGGTAAAAGCTCATCGTATTCCATCTTACATATTAATTCTGCCAAAGAACAAACCCATCCCCTTCACATTTTAACAGCTTCAAAATAAGATCCAGGTAAGTAAGAAGAAAACAAGGCAGGAAAAAGAAAAACCGAGTGAGAAGAGGCGATAAAAATGATGGAGTGACAGGGCCATCTGAACTCAGAACCAGTTCACCAAGCCACTTCTGGTTCTATTTAACTTTCCCTATTAAAACAAGGAGACACACCCTGCTGGTGGTGTTTTCACAAACACAGATAAGAGAACCAGTTTGTGTTATCTAAAGGCACGGATCATAAACACGATTTGGGGGCTACCTCTACGTGTGTGGTGGCATTACAAACAATTACTACTGCATGACACCTTGCTGTCATTCGAGTTCGGCTAGTAAGGACAAAAGGACCGACCATCGGTGCTGACGGTCGGGCTTCGGGGCTCCGCTCTGAACCCAGCTGGATTCACCCTCGGAAAGGCACCAGCGGGCCACTGCAGACGAGCTCCGCCGGCTCCGCGTCTCCATCCCCGGCCGCGGCCGGGCGCGCTGCCCAGAGCCGGGCGGGTGGCGGGGTCCCGCGGCCTCCGGGGCGTGAACCCGCGGCTGTCCCCACGCCCCGGCCGCCCGGCGTAGAAACGAGGGCGCGTTCCTTCGGGGGGCACTCACCTTCTTCTTCCAACTCGAATTTCTCCAGCATGCCGGCTTCCGCAGGTCCCGGGGCCGCCGCCAGCGCCGCCTGAGGAGGAGGAGGACAGGGATCAGCATGCGCTCGGCGGCGCTCGTCCCGGCCGCGCGGGCGGGGACGCGGGGGCGGGGTGCG